CAAAAAACACTGGGACCAACTGCTTTCGAACAGTTCCACTCGCCCCACATCTCAAAGATTGTTGCCAGGCAGCCGGTTCCCAGTTATCTGGTGTCTGTGGTGTTCGCTCTGTTGGCCCAGTGGTTGTCAGAGACCTGGGGCTTGTTCAACAAGCACCATGTCTGACAACCACTCTCTGACACTTGCTTCGTAAAATCTGTGGGCATAAATGCCAAAAAATTTCAACAAGCACCATGTCTGACAACCACTCTGACACTTGCTTCGTACAATCTGTACTCAAAAACGCCAAAAATCAAATTGGCCAACAAACTCTCAAAATTGCTTGGGGTCTGTTTGGCGCATTGCGTTGGTCAATGTTTGTGGGGCTCTGCGGGCCCAGTGGTTGTCAGAGACATGGGGCTTGTTCAACAAGCACTATGTCTGACAACCACTCTCTCTGACACTTGCTTCGTAAAATCTGTGCTCAAAAACGCCAAAAATGAAATTTGTCAACAAACTCTCAAAATTCCTTGGGGTCTGTTTGGCGCATTGCGTTGGTCAGCACCATGTCTGACAACCACTCTCTAACACCTGCTTCGCAAAAATCTGTGCTCAAAAACACCAGAAACAGACAAAATCCTGTCAAAAACGAATCAAATTTGTCAACAAACTCTGAAAGTTCCTTATTAAATGCGGGCCCATCGGTTAATCACTGCGCGATCCATATCGAAAAAGAAATCAGTGGTTAACCAAATCCGGCAAGCAAAAGAAACGATATCCAAGAGTGTCTCAACACGCAGGCGTGTTCAACATGACAGATGTGTCTGTGTGCGTTACCTGGACAAATGGGTAGACGGTTTTCGCGAAGATATGTAAAACTTTTTTTTCGTTTCCCAGAAAAATGGATAGACCAAGAAAATGTCTGAAACCAAATCAACATGTAAGGGAAACCTTCAATTCAGTGACCGTCCAACCCCGTTGGCATGCCCAAAATGAGCGACCATGTTAACCAAATCCGGCAAGCAAAAGAAACGATATCCAAGAGTGTCTCAACATGCAGGCGTGTTCAACATGACAGATGTGTCTGTGTGCATTACCTGGACAAATGGGTAGACGGTTATCGCGGAGATATGTAAAACACCTCTTTTTCGTTTCCCAGAAAAATGGATAGACCAAGAAAATGTCTGAAACCTAATCAACATGTAAGGGAAACCTTCAATTCAGTGACCGTCCAACCCCGTTGGCATGCCCAAAATGAGCGACCATGTTTCCACGGCTCCGAGGAGAGCGACGATGCTGCGCTGCTGACAGCTACGTCACCACCACAAGGGTTGTAGTGCGAGCAACGCCTACAGCATTTCCGAAGGCAACATCGGACAGCTCCTTTTGGAGCGACTGTAGGGCGACACAAAAAATTGTTTCAGTCCGCTGCTTTTAGCGCAACCAAGCTCTTCAGGTCCTCCACATTCAGCTGCCGCGCAGCTTTCAACAACTTCTTCTTTCGTCGGTCGGCGTCCTTGGTTTGCGCACGGTTCACCTTGATTTGCTGTCGCAAGTGGGCCCGCTGCTGCCGCAACTCTTCCAATTCGGCCTTGAGCACCTGCCACGCACAAGCAGGCCGGCTTTTTTCAGCAAGCACCAAAAAAGTGTTGTGGTTTGACGGCACAACGCGTGAAGCAGTCTGGAGTCTTGGAGTCTTCAAACTGTCGCCCCCCCAAAAAAGGGGTGAAAAAAACACATTTCCTCGCAGGCCGGATTCAGGACACCGAGGGTACCCATGTGTGGGCCAAAGAAGGCCACAGAACCAGTAACACTAAATCACATTGCTGGCAGAACTCCTGCAAAATGCACATTACAAAGTAACTGCGGACTTCATTTTCCTTCAGTCCAGGCTTCGCACATTCTCGGCTGGAACCGAATGCATGTCAGCGGCCCAGACCCGCGGTCTGGCCCTGTGGGCGTCTCTGGACCCGCATTTTTAATGTCGCCCCTTGTCCTGGGTGCACCGCAGCCCTAGGAAAGTGCCACCTTCCCAAGCAACCCGGTAAAAAGGTGTGCGCCTGCGTTAGTCCGCTTTGACCCTGCATCGGGCAAACGCGCTTTGGCGCCCGGAGCACCGAAGGGCATCGCAGCCGCACTGAAGGGGGGGCCTGTTGCTTTACCGGTTGCTCAGAGCTCTGAAGTAGGGGGTGTATCCTCAAACTCCGCACGGGATGCAGCAGGCATGAGTCGAACACGCCAAACAAAGCCTGCAACGCCAGGGAAAAAACTGCGAGCGTGTCTGCATTTCTTGGCTTCTTTTCCTTCCATATGTGTTTTAAGCTTGAACATTGAACAGTGAACAGGTTCTAACCTAAGATTCCCAGCGAAGTTGTCATCTTCGAGACCATCCAAGCGCCGTTGTTGGCAAATGCGGACACCCGCAAATATATCTCATCCCCCCCTCAAAGTGGGAGAGGAGCGGGTGAATATCCCCGACGAGACGAGACTGAGATCGAGAGAACTTCGATCAAACGTGGTAGGTACAATCGTCATCGTTACGCGATGCGATCAGGTGGAGCTTAGCTCCTTTTGTTCAGCGAGGCACGCATCACCGGTGTGTGTTTTTGGACAGGAACGAGCAAGGTCAAAAGACGCTTTACTTTGCAAATCATGACGGAGTCAAAATGATCAGATGAAACGAGCCGGTCCTTCCTGTTATGCTGAATGCTGTCAGATTTCCAGATTTCACCTGATAAAAATCTAAAAGTTGGTTTGGGGTTGGGGAAGTCAGAAGATATTGGTTTCATTTTGATGCTCCTTCCAGGGATCGTCACCATTGCATGGCCCGCTGAGACGATCTCGTTTGGTTCATTCAGCTTTTTTGTGCCGCTCAAAGGTGTGCCAAAGAAAAACAGAAGTGGATGGATGATGTTTTCATTTGTCCAGATCCCCTATTTGGCACCCGAACGCTGGCGCAACGGCCAAAGATGCCGGAGCAGCAAGTACAGTTTCATGTCAATTTGATGGATAAGAGCAAGACAAAAACAGTGGCTTGCAGTGCAGCCCTCGACAGCAACGTTTGGTCCTTTGGAGAGAATGTGGGCATGACCACTCTTTCAACTAGCAGCAAGTCTGGCGGCGGATATGTGTTCGAGCGTGGCAGCAAACAGTGGAGGAGCTGCGAAAATCCCTCACTGATTTTGCACCAGACTGGTGCTTGTGATGGTGACGAGGTCACGTTCATGGGCGACTTTGAGCCATGTGTCTCAGCAACTGGTGCTTCCGGATCGGTGACGCTTCATGTCAATTTGATGGACAAGAGCAAGACCAAAACTGTGGATTGCAGTGCAGCCCTCGACAGCAACGTTTGGTCCTTTGGAGAGAATGTGGGCATGACCACTCTTTCAACTAGCAGCAAGTCTGGCGGCGGATATGTGTTTGAGCGTGGCAGCAAACAGTGGAGGAGCTGCGAACATCCCTCACTGACTTTGCACCAGACTGGTGCTTGTGATGGTGACGAGGTCACGTTCATGGGCGACTTTGAGCCATGTGTCTCAGCAACTGGTGCTTCCGGATCGGTGACGCTTCATGTCAATTTGATGGACAAGAGCAATACCAAAACTGTGGATTGCAGTGCAGCCCTCGACAGCAACGTTTGGTCCTTTGGAGAGAATGTGGGCATGACCACTCTTTCAACTAGCAGCAAGTCTGGCGGCGGATATGTGTTCGAGCGTGGCAGCAAACAGTGGAGGAGCTGCGAACATCCCTCACTGACTTTGCACCAGGCTGGTGCTTGTGATGGTGACGAGGTCACGTTCATGGGCGACTTTGAGCCATGTGTGTCAGCAACTGGTGCTTCCGGATCGGTGTCTCTTCATGTCAATTTGATGGATAAGAGCAAGACCAAAACTGTGGATTGCAGTGCAGCCCTCGACAGCAACGTTTGGTCCTTTGGAGAGAATGTGGGCATGACCACTCTTTCAACTAGCAGCAAGTCTGGCTGCGGATATGTGTTCGAGCGTGGCAGCAAACAGTGGAGGAGCTGCGAAAATCCCTCACTGACTTTGCACCAGACTGGTGCTTGTGATGGTGACGAGGTCACGTTCATGGGCGACTTTGAGCCATGTGTCTCAGCAACTGGTGCTTCCGGATCGGTGTCTCTTCATGTCAATTTGATGGATAAGAGCAAGACAAAAACTGTGGCTTGCAGTGCAGCCCTCGACAGCAACGTTTGGTCCTTTGGAGAGAATGTGGGCATGACCACTCTTTCAACTAGCAGCAAGTCTGGCGGCGGATATGTGTTCGAGCGTGGCAGCAAACAGTGGAGGAGCTGCGAAAATCCCTCACTGACTTTGCACCAGACTGGTGCTTGTGATGGTGACGAGGTCACGTTCATGGGCGACTTTGAGGCATGAGGTGCGATTTTCAATGCTCTATATATACAGAAGTCTGATTGCAGAGGGCTTCCTCACATGTGGATTGCTCGTTCGATTGTAGAGTCTGGCAGACATCAGGCGTAAGACTCGAGCCGAGCGGGCGGCCAGCTTGAGGAAAAGTGAGCCAGAGCTCGGCTTCCCGTTTTGGGCCCGCGGCCCAACTTCCGGGGCCGCGCAAGTTTCGGGAAGGAGACCCTTCTGGGCTTTGAGGATCGTGGGACCGAAGGATCGGCGATTGGCATCGGCAAGCTGCGAACATGGAAGCGATGTTTTGCATGAATCATTCGCTAAAGACAGTGTTCCGCGCAAAGACACAGAGTGATGAGGACAGCTTTTCGCCTAAGGTTGATGGAGTGTCAGCCGTGCCTATTTCTGTGCTGGAGAAAATTCCTTCTCATTTGGTTCAGCGGTTGGTTCCTTGAGCCACGTTTACTGGGATCAAGACGTCGTGTTGCCAAGACTTCAACGGACTGCCATCAGTCATGTCGACCCCGGATAAATCAAGCTGAACAAATGAAGGGGCGCTTTCCCCAAAAGGGGGGCGGCCGGATCTCCCTCCCCAATCGAACTTCCGGTTGTGCATTGGGTGGCCGACGCTGTTTCAGGACCTCAAGTTTCGGGTTCATTTTTTTTCCGGAGCCACAGGGCAAAAAGGCCTCCGCTGAAGCCGACGGCTCGCAGGTTGCGCACACCGTGAAAAAAACGGGGGCTGGGAGTCTGCAAGTGTTTTCTTCGTTGCATTTGGTGGGATGTCAGGACTTGAACTTTTTGGCCAACTAATGGGTTTTCCATCAAACCACTAAAAGTTAAAATGTTCGCAGGGGAGCAACAAAAACGAAAGCAACCAAGTGTTGTTTGATATTTTCGTTTTGTTAGGATGCTTAAAGGAGGCTTTTGGGCACCACCGTCCGAACCAGCCCTTTTCGAGCGCGCCAACCATATAGCATGAGATCGACAGAAAAGGCCATGCTAGGAATGCCAGAGTCCATGCGCGACGTGCGACCCGAAGCACGTGCTGTTGAACCGTAGATTGCTTCACTTCATGAGCTCCCTAAGGATCCGCTGTCGCAAACTGGACAGTCAAGGGTCATCAAAATCGCTCCAAACTCCAAGAGTATGGAACCGAGTTGGAGACACCCCCGCTGGTGCCTGGCAGTTGGTAAGCCATGCTCGCATATCAAAGTACTGCTTGCTTCGAACTTCATTTGCGCTCCGAATGAGTTGGAGGTGATTCCGCTTAGGGCTGTTCTTCTTGACAACTGGGTTTGTCTCTCCAAAATTCCGAGGCGGTTCTTTTTGTCAGGGCTCAGCAAACTGTGAGGTGACCCTGGCCGATCAGGGCGTTGGCTGTGGGTCCACTGGTCAGCTGCCGGTTATTTGACCAGAGACCAACCTCGGTCGCTTGCGACTTGCGAGGCCATGGGCTGTGGTCAGAGTCTTGTGGAGGAGAAATCGTCGTTTTTGTTTCGAGGCAAAGCAGAACGAGCTCACCACCTGGGTACGGGTCAAATTCTAATCACCAGGATATGCTCAGGTGCTTTGTTTCTTGGATGGGGAACCCTGTTGTTTGCAAGGTTTTGAGGCGAGTAGTATTTCAATGGCAAGGGCTGCTGAGTTGAATACTGTTTCACGTCGCGACTGAATGGTCCGGACAAAGAAAGCGCCATGCGTTTCTTTGTCTGATTCAGACAGGAGTCACAACACCTTGCATATCGTGTGCGTTTCGTGTGCGAGCGACCAAAAGGGAGATTTGTGACCTTTTCCGAGGAACCGGCTTGAAGTTCCAACTTCAAAGGTGCCATATCAATGAATCAAGCGAGCTTGAACTCCCTGCTAAAAGCCAGGCACACCCCCCTGGTCATACTGGGGTTGATTAACATTGCCAACATGTATTCGCCCAGATCTATGGGGTCCCATGTCGGTGTTGCTTTTGTTTTTGTTTTTGCCTCACTCCAGGAGCACAGGCACAGCCGTCACAGTCTGCCGGTGAACATACTTCCCGCCGAGGCAAGGATTCTGGGGTCTGGGCGCGCAAGACAACGCCAAAGCTAAACTTTTCTTCTGAGTTGGCGGGGTTGAGCACGCCCACGTAATTCTGCTCAATCTCTCTTTCTGACTCTCTCTCTCTCTCTCTCTCTGTCTCCGTCTCTGTCTCTTTCCCTGTCTCTTTCTCTTTTCTTTTCGCTTGTTTCTTTTTGAATTTTCATCATGTGTTTTCCCTTGTCTCTTTCCCCTTGTACTCTTTTGGGCTCTTTTGCTCTTTTCACAAGTTTCTCATTTTCTGATTCTTTGCTCTCTTTCAATTTGTCGCTTGTTGCCGTTATTATTCTCTGTTTCTGTGATTATCCCTTTCTCATTTTCCTTTTTTGTTTAGTTTTCCTCTTGGTCTCTTTTTGTTCTCGTCTTTTCTCGTTGTTTTCTTTGGCTCTTCTCTATATTTTCTTTACCTTTTCTCTTTCTTTTTTTCTCCTCTCCTTTGCTCTTTTATTCTTTTAGTTTTCCTCTTTTTCTCTTTCATCTTTCTCTATTTTATTTACTTTCCCGTTTTCTCTTTTCTCTTTCGCTTCTTTCCTTTTCCTTTTTTTCTCTTTGTCTTTTTTTCTCCCCTTCTACTTGTTCTCCATTTCTCTTGTTGTCTCTTTGCCTTTTTGCTCTTTCTCTCCTTTTCCTTTTTCTCATTTTCTATGTTCCTTGTTTTTTTCTCTATTCTATTCCTATATGTTGCTGTACTTGATTGAACTTCCTCTTTTTTCCTTTTTCGCTTTTCCTCTGTTGCCCTTGTTTCCCTTTCTCTCCTTGTCTGTTTTTGTCGTGTTTTTCTTCTTCCTTTTTCTCCTTTTCTCCTTTTTGGTTGGTTCTTGGTCGCGACTTTTTCGCGGCCTTTGCAGGTGAAAGAGGCGATCGCGCGGACCAAGCGGACGAACACAGTGCAGACCCTCCAATCGGAGCAGAGCAGCGTCCTCCAGATCGGCGATCGCCCTTTGGCTCAGTCTGTCGATCGACCCGTGCGCGCGGGGGGTGGGAGGCGTGTTTGGCAGAAGCTCATTGGGACAAGCCGGGTAAAAGCGGGAGCCCAGGAAATGGACCTTCGCACATCCGAGTGTCACCCTATCACTGAGCTACCTTCCGCGTTGAAGCTTCAAGGCATGCATGCCCCTGGACCAAAGCGGGATCAATGACCATCAAAATGGGTATGTGTCAACTAGGGGCACGCGAAACAAATGATGGCTGTCCTACTACTGGTTTCCTTCAAACTCAAAAGGGTGCTGTTTCAGAACACAAACCTAAATGGAGAAGTGACACAGAAAGCCCAGCGCTCCTCGGACATGGCGCATTGAGATCTGTTCACACGAAGAACTTCAGGTTGTTGGGGGGGAACAAACCCTTCTTCAAATGAAAGGCTCCTGGAACCGCAGCAAGGGTTCTGATCGGTGGGTTTGGACGCGCAACCTTTCTGGGGGCAACAGTCGGCAAGTGAATCAATGTCATGGATCAACAGGACGATCCCCCCGCCCAAACAAAAAAATAATTGAAGGGGGTTCCCCTTTTTTTGGATGATCTCAAGGCAAACTTTGACTTCGGGGGAAATGCTTGGGTTGAAGTCTAGAAGGCAGGGAATGAGAAATGGAATGAACCAGAGAAACACCATCCCGCGAGTGGTTTCCTTTAAGGGAATCCCCTTCCAGTTCATTCCCTCATTCCTTACCGAGCACCAGTAAGTCCATTTGGATGTTTGGACGAGATATGGAGTTGAATGTCTCACGAAATGAGCCGCCAAAGCCAGAGAAGTCCTTGGATATGTTCCCGGGGAAGCAAGTCATTCTCAGCGTGGGAAGGATCTTCGTGGGAAGGTCCACCTCTTAACTTGGCTCGCCCCTTTTGGGCATCGGTTTTCGTGCAGTCCCACCCGCCCGGGATCAAACCATGGGAAGGTTGGCACGTGTCAACGGCTCCTGCTTTCGTTTCTCATACCGCCCACAATTTCTCGGTCTGGTTGGAGACTCAGCCACCGTGTTGTATTTCCGGTGTACCCCTGCGTGCCTGCCACCTGTGTACCCCTCCATTTTTCCTGAGGTTTCCCTTCAAACCAAGCCCAAAGAGGGCGAAAAGTCCAAACAAGGTGCAAGTGGGCCAAGATTGTGAAGACGCCTCTCCGAGTCGGAGTCGGGGTCCCTTGAGCAACATAGAGGACACTTCCCGACGAAGCCTAACGCCCCAAGCTCCCAACAAACTCAAGCAGGGCGACAGCGACCACCGGAGGCTTTGAGATGGAAGTAGAAGCACCGGAAGCACACCAGCACTTCAACTCCTGGAATCACCAGGCGCGGGCGGCCTCTTCGCGACTCGCTCTGGACTTTTTTTTTCCCCCTCCGCCGAAATCATGGCAAAACATATGCTTGCATGGTTACACTTGTATTTTGATGAGTTTCCCCATTTGTCCCTCCAACTTCTTTGCCGGTCTTTTTTCTCCCCTGATAGCCAACAGCTATGAAGGTGCTCATTTCAGGTAGAGAAGAGTGGGGTGTGACAGCATTTGGCAGGGTGCTGTTGCCCAAAGTGGGGTACCTTGGAAAGCTGTTGGCCTCTTTGACAGAGTGTCACAATTTCTTTTAGGTCGGGGCTTGAGTGATGGCTTCAGGATAGCTCTCGGAACCAGGCTCTATACTGAGCTGATTGCAAAGGAGCCGGAAGGTTTCGGATGACCATTTTTTTCCAGGAGGTCCAAAGGACACCGTTCCTGCCGAAGCAAACACTTGAGTTCGTTGGTCATAGCCCTTAAGATTGCGGGACCACCACAATAAATACTGTATTGATGACTGACATGTGCGTGTTTTTAGAGGGTTCCCTTTTTAGTGAAAGCTACACGACAACCACCATTTGTGGGGTTCAAAATCCGAATTTGACACAGTCCACATATCCAAATTGACGTTGAACCCAAAGCCGGGCTTTCTCTACAAGTTGGCTTTTGTGGCTTCATGTCAACCTGCAGGGGAGTAACTGATCTTTCTCCTTCCCCTTTTCCCCCTTTGGGTTTCCTTCGTTTTTCCCATGAGCCAGCAGTCGCTCGATGGGTCCAATCGAAAAAGAATTAAACCAAAAGGAAAGGCAACCACTGTGGAGTTGTTGTTCAGCTGGAATCTCTGCAAATGACCAAGTAGACGAAGAGAAGGCTGGTGACGCGGTTTTTGCTTGCGGGTGTTGGGCTTTGCCATTTCCGCTCCAAACTGGGATTTTCAGATGGCAGATGGAGCCCAAAGGAACTTCGGCATTTTTTTTGCACAAGAAGGGTACCATGGCAAAGAAGGATTGCTGAAACTCATAGCCTCCTTCTTGTTGATTTTGGTAAGCACATCTTTCCAACAACCTTGGAAGTGGAGTGGTGCGGAGACCTTGTTCCACGGTCGTCTTTCAATCCCTGCTGGCTGCTTCCATTTTGGCAGTAAACAACTTGCTCTTGTTCTTTTTAGGTGGCTGATTCATGAGGTGTTTGTGTTCTTCATTTTTTGCAGGGAGCCTCCTGCCAAATGTGGCAATCCGTGGCCGCATCCACAGATCCACTTCGGTTATCCTTCATCCCCCTCCTGACGAAAAGCGGTAAGCAGCAACGAAAAAGGGTCTGGAAGCAAGGAACATCTCCGGGAAGTCTTGCTGAAGCTTGTTCTTCACCAAGTGAAATGCCACCAAGAGGATCCTTCTAGGGGCCCTTCAGAACCTGAGGGACCCTTCTTAGGGAAACCCAACAGCTCATCTAGAGGAGTCCTCATACCCTAAACCCAAAGCCAGTGTTCTCTATTCAAAGAAATGGCTAAACCACTCCAGCAAAAGCGTGAGGTTGGTTCCTTAGAGAGTTGCATTTGAGAGGTTCTCACAACATGTCGGACTTTTGGCGGTACGATTTGGTCCTCAATATCATGGGACTCCCTTTTACGATGAATGGCTGAAAAGAACGAATGGCTGACAAGAACGAATGGCTGACAAGAACGAATGGCTGAAAAGAACGAATGGCTGAAAAGAACGAATGGCTGAAAAGAATGAATGGCTGAAAAGAACGAATGGCTGAAAAGAACGAATGGCTGAAAAGAACGGCAGAGGAATTTTCAGTCTTAGCCCAAGCGTTTGGTTCGCCTCAAGCGGAGGTGGACGAGATCGATCGCAGGGCCATGAGGAGGGGCCATGCCATGCCGATGAACCAGCGCCTTGAGCTGCAGCCTTCGTGCTTCTGCCTGGCGACTTCCGTCATTTAAGAAGGTGATTTTAAGGTGACTTGCTAAGAAAACCCCGTCTTTCGGTTTTCGTTTTGTTGGCGGTTCTTGGTCGTTTTTGTGGTTGCGTGTTTTTGGATTTGGATTTTCCCCGAACAAATGCGGCTTTGCTTTTGGTTGCCTGGTTAAAACCGCAAAAACCAAGGGCGCCAACTCCCAAAAAGGACGATGGCGGTTCAGCGGGATTCTGGCCAAGCTTCGGGAAAAGATGCCCGGCGTCGGGCAGGGCCGGAATTTTGTGAGGCAAGCTTGCGGGCCAGCTCGTCTTCAATCCCGCAGTTGAAAGCGGAGCTCAACTTTACTCTTTCGAAATTCAGGGGTTTCCACTAAACCACCAAAAGTTAAAAACTATTTGCCGAGGGATCAGCAACCAAGAAGTGAGCACCAATCCCATTATACTCGTCTGGGACGAGTGTTGACAAGAAAAACGCCGCCCCACCCCACTGGCACTAAAGCTGAGAGAACCCGGAAACCATCTTGGTAGAGGTTTGAGCGCTTCTGCTGTTTTCCTCGCTGGTGCCCTCGAAAAGTTGGCAGGCTGGTTGCAGAAGCTCGTTTGTAAATCATGTCCACAGGATGCCAATTAAAATGTTCAAGCCCGATTTTGATGCTTGCATTGCCAGACTTGGCGTGCGACTGGACAAAGCCTTGGAGGGGCTTCCTTTCATCTTCCTTTTTTGCCTTTCAGTCTCGGTGAGAGGTCCTAGTTTTGCAGAGAGGCCCAAATTCCAGGGGAGGACTCCCCCATTGTGAAACCATGGCTCCGCTTCTTTCGAGACATCACCCAACATAAACAAAAAAGAAAACAAAAAACACCAGGGGTTTGAAAAGACCAACGGCTGACAGTAATGGACACCAGAATCAAGGCCTCCCAGAAAGGAAGCACCTTCCACCAGCCTCTGGGAGAAAGCTTGGAAAATGAGAGCGTTTCCGCGAGCGCGAGAAAAGGGACAGGCTGTGGCCATACGAGGGCCCCTTCCCATTTTGGGTTGAGGAAGCTCCCCGAAGTGGGGGAAATGGACCGTAAGCTTCCATAGAGCCAAATGGGCTCTGATCCGAGGCCCCTCTGGTTGAAAGGTGGGGAAATGAAGAAAGACCAAGGCAGCAGTTGACAATGGTTTAAACCAACACAACAACGGCACCTCACGAAAAGACGCCCAAGCTGACAATGGCCGAAAATGGTTGGTGCCTCTTTGGTGTCCAGTCTGACCAACAACACGGGGGGTCAACTCTCAAAGGAGCGAGCGAGGCTACGTTTCGCCCGACAGTCCTCCCTCGCGAGGGCAGCTCATTTCCACTTCATGTCGAAGTTGGAGAAGTCTTTGAGCCGCGCCCTCAGACTCCACGGAGGGGACTTTGTATTGGGTCGAGTGTGCGCGCGTTTTCCAGGCGTTTGGCTTTTCCTTTGGGAGGGCTGGAGAGGATAGACGGGATAGGATACGATGGGATAGGATAGAATAGAATAGAATAGATGGATGGATAGGATAGATACGATAGATAACACAAATAATATTAGATAGATAGATAGATAGATAGATAGATAGATAGATAGATAGATAGATAGATAGATAGATAGATAGATAGATAGATAGATAGATAGATAGATAGATAGATAGATAGATAGATAGATAGATAGATAGATAGATAGATAGATCGATGGATAGATAGATAGATAGATAGACAGATTGATAGATAGACAGATACATAGATGGATAGATACATACATAGGATAGGAATGGATTGGATTGGATTGGACTAGATTGGATAGATAGATAGATAGATAGATAGATTTATTGATTGATTGATTGGATTGATTGATTGATTGATTGATTGATTGATTGATTGATTGATGGATGCATACATGCACGTTGCATGCATGCATGCATGCATGCATGCATGCATGCATGCATGCATAACGTACATACGTACGTACGTACATACAGACAGACAGACAGACAGACAGACAGACAGACAGACAGACAGACAGACAGACAGACAGACAGACAGACAGACAGACAGACAGACAGACAGACAGACAGACAGACAGACAGACAGACAGACAGACAGACAGACAGACAGACAGACAGACAGACAGACAGACAGACAGACAGACAGACAGACAGACAGACAGACAGACAGACAGACAGACAGACAGACAGACAGACAGACAGACAGACAGACAGACAGACAGACAGACAGACAGACAGACAGACAGACAGACAGACAGACAGACAGACAGACAGACAGACAGACAGACAGACAGACAGACAGAGACAGAGACAGACAGAGACGGACAGAGACAGACAGAGACAGACAGACACAGAGACAGACAGACAGAGACGGACAGACAGACACAGACAGACAGACAGAGACAGACAGAGACAGACAGAGACAGACAGAGACAGACAGAGACAGACAGAGACGGACAGAGACAGACAGACAGACAGAGACAGACAGAGACGGACAGAGACAGACAGACAGACAGACAGAGACAGACAGACAGACAGACAGACAGACAGGCAGGCAGGCAGGCAGACAGACAGACAGACGGACAGACGGACAGACAGACAGACAGACATACACACATACACACATACACAAATACACACACATACATACATACATACATGCATGCATGCTGGGCTAAAGCGTTAACCGCAGGTGGTCGCTTGTCTTGACTCTTCATAAGTGTCCACTTGGGCCGTAGCCATTTTGGCTCAAGTGGACTCTGACCTTCTGTCTTGTAATCTGAAATCTTTCTTTCCCCTCCTATCAAAGCCATGTACGCCCCCGCCTACGCTGGTGCCGCGGTTGCAGAGGCCAAGGCGAAGGCAAAGGCCTCCATGGCGAAGTACCTGGCAAGCCTCGTGAAGAAGGAGGAAGAAGGATGGACCGTCTTGGCTGCTGAGGTCCCTCAGGCACCTGACGAGCGGTTCTTCTCCAGCGCCGATGAGCTGGAGCAGGCCCCACTCATCCCAGCCAAGCGCAAGGCAGAGGACGAGCTGATGGCAGACTCAGCCCCTGGGGTGGCGCAGGTGCCGAAGGCCCTGACACGCCCCCCAGGGGCGTTCCTGGAGCTCCTAAACCCGCCGGAGAAGGATGTTCCCATGGAGGAACTCCTGGCGGAAGACGAGGAGGAGCTCCCGATGTCCGACACCAAGTGGCAGAGACGCCGTGATCTGATGGCGAAGGTCAGGGAGCAGGCGTCCTCGGAGGAGGATGAGGACCCCGCAGCCCCCCCGCCGGGGGGAAGCGTCTTCACCAAGGCCCTCAAAGTCTCTGAGGGCCTTTACCAATTCAGCGATGACCAGATGGCGGGCGACTTCCCGTGTTTTGATGCGACCACGGCCACTAGGCTCCGCCGACTGCAGGCCAAAGACGTCCAGCGGCTCCTGAGAGGCTTTGAGGGCCCCCAACTCAAGCAGGGGGGCCTGGAGCGTGTGGTGGAGGCGTTCTACATCGCCAAGATGAAGTATGAGCATGAGGCCAGGCTCAGCACCCCGGGACAGCAGGTCGGCAAGCGCGCTGGCCTGGGGTATGGGGGCCTGGAGAACCGCCCCCTGGGTAAGGAGCCCACATCCTGGATCTGCCCCTGCTGCACCATGCCCTGGCCCTGGGTGAAGAAGGGCGCCAGGAAGTGTATGGGGTGCGGCAAGAAGACGGAGCCCATTGACATGGCGACCAACTCGGCCACCCTGGAGATGGCGGGCACGCACTGGCAGTTGACGGTGGATGACCAGGGCAATGCGGTCTGGACGGCGGCCCGGTCCGCAGGTGCCGATGGCCCTGATACGGACCGGGCCCGCGACCTCAAGCTCAGCGCCTCGGTGGATGTCAGCGAGCTGGCCACCGACCCGATGGCATGCGAGAACCCGGACCAGGCCAGCTTCTCGGACTTTGTCCCCTCCTCGGTCCGGGCGGTGATCAGGAACTGCCCCATGGAGCTGGACGAGGATTTCCTGACGGCCCCAATGGGGGAGAGGCCTCCATTGCCGGGCGACAAGGAAGAGGGCCAGGAATGCAGGGCCTTCCACCCGTCGGCGGTGAAGGCTTTCAAAATCCATACCCGGCTCAACGCCACCACCATTGCCCAGGAGGAGGCCAAGAAGGCAGACCAGGTGGCAGCGGTGGAGCGATCCGCGGCGGTCCTCCACGAGCTTCAAGGAGGGGCCATTGATGGAGGAGGCGATGGGGGCCTACTCCTCAAGAATTTGGACTTGGACCTTTTCCGCGAAAAACTGCTGGATAAGCTGGGCGCGGACTGGGGGAGGACCACACCGGAGCTCCTCCAGGCCCAGACCACTGCGGAGGAGGCGAAGGCAAAGCGCCAGGCCAGACAAGCGAAGGGCGCCCACGAGACCAGAATGCTCGAGCCCATCAAGCCTCCATTCAGTGCGTGGCCTAACGAGGTCCGAGTTGCCATTGAGACGGGGGTCTTTGAGCCGACCACGGCATGGAGGGATTTCAGCATGGACGACCTCACGTCCCTCACGGACTCTTACCTCGAAGCCAAGGCGGTCATCTCGCTGGGTAGGAACCCCTTTCCGGCGGCCCTCCTGGCAGATCTGCCGGATCTGGCGGGGATCCCCATTCCAAAGGCGGGGGGCTCTGGCCCAGGTGCCGAGGGCCCTGACAGGCAGCCCACCATCCCCCCAGCCTCGGGCTCTGGCGCGACGAGCTCAACAAGCCGTCTGCCACCCCAGGGGGCCTGGATACCCAGGACCCGGAGGTGCAGCTCGCGGTCCTGCGCTGGATGATGAGCAAACGGGTCGGAGAGGTCCGTATCTTTGCGGGCCGCTGGGTCCGACGACCGGGCCCCGTACACGTCCCGGACTGGGCCAACAACCTCACCAAGGTGAATCCGGAGGCGCTGGAGAGGGGTACGCATCCCAGGAACCACCAGGTGGGTGGACTCCCATGGGCCAGGTACTCCGTTGATGAGTTGAACCAGCAGGCTAAGGCGGGGGACCGACCCTACCCCGAGGACCTGCGTTCCATCTTCTGGGCGGCCCCCCACGATCCGGATGAGGACTTCCACTGGGCGCGCCAGATCTCGTCCTGGACACTTCCAGGCTTACTGGGGATGTTTGGTCACAGCTTCACCCTGCGCCAGCTCTGGGGTCCCTGCCACTGCTACAGGGCCCTAGGCAGCGGGGCCCGAAGAACAAGGCCCAGAATCAGATCCGCCTGGAGGGCTGGGAGACCCTGAAGGAAGACGCGCGGTGCTTCCTGAAGGAGGAGGGCCTTCCGTTTCCGCAGACAGGACCGGAGTGGCGGTTGGTCTACCGGGCCATGGGCAAGGTCCTCGCGGCCCGGGCCTTCCTCACGGACACCCCGAGGTGATGCAGCTCCCGGTCCAGGACGTGGCGGACTCCAAGGAACAGATGATCCTTCGGGCGGTATGTGATGAGCGCATATCTGTCCCGGTGGAGAGTCTCCAGCAGTTCCCAGAGGTGTACAAGGCCCTCATGGACCGCATTGGAGGCCCGGGGGCCCTGGCGGAGGTGAAGGTCAATTGGCGCTGCAACACGAAGCAGTGGTGGGTCGGCGCAGTCCCCGACTCAGTAGCCCCCTCCATCTACCGCAAGCTCGGTTACACCAACGACATGATCAAGCTGATGGGCCTTGACCCCTCCGCCCCTGGGTGCCGGACAGGTGCCGATGGCCCTGACATCCGCCCCAGGGGAGGAGAGGGCGATGAGGGGATCGTTTACCCCCCCATCACATCGGACAACGTGGTGGGCAAGGACTACCGGAAGAAGAACTATCCGGCGGAGACGAAGCATGTCTTCTGGGCGCACATGGAGTGTGGCCTGGTCCTGAGCTCCGTCACCCCGTGGGAACTCATCCCGAAGACAAAAGGGGAGACCCGGGGGGGCTACATGTGCAAGTACTGCAAGGGGTACTGGCGCGCCGGGGGAGGGGGCACCCGCCTCCTCCAGATCCGGGCCGGCAAGGCCATCCTTCAGCTGGTGCTGGACGAGCCGCCGGATGGCCTGTACAACCGCTGGGTCAAGGAGCGGTTGGAGTTCTACCGCCGGGTAGAGCCCTCTGCCCCGCTGCGGGATGTCTCCGTGGTGGACCAGAAAGTCCCCCGGTTTAGGTTCAGCCACATCACCCAGACCGGCCATGTTTCAAACGCCATCTGGGAGCTGATTCTCCGGAATCCGGAGGCGGCGGCGCTCAAGCGCATTGACGACATTGCAAAGGGGGCCGTATGATCATACAGCACTGCGGCCATCCGGAACGGATTCGCAGCGCACCCCGGGGGGGACAGCTGCCGAAGGCGCTGATATCCCCCCCTGGGCACAGCACAGGCCTAGACC